GAAGGGGAAGAAATATTACTGACAATGGATTTAGCTACAATCACAGTTTAATTTGCTGTTAGGAACTCAAAGATAAGTCTAATTTTGTAGTGCATATTTGGCACACATATCTTATGTTTTAAAGTACTTTTATATGTACTGTGCAGATAACTGATCTTGGTATGGCAAAACGCTTAAAAGCCGATGGTCTCCCAAGCACTTCTAGTTCTCCAGCAAGAATGCAGGGGACTTTTGGTTATTTTGCACCAGAGTATGCGATTGTTGGAAGAGCTTCTCTTAAGTCAGATGTTTTCAGTTTTGGTGTAGTTCTTCTTGAGCTTATCACTGGTCGGAAGCCCATTCACAAATCAAGCAGCAAGGGAGAAGAAAGCCTTGTCATATGGGTAAGGAACCTATTACCATCATGCATGTTGTTGCATGGAAGTTTTCCTTTTATTACCAAGAGGCTAAATTTCCCAAATGCACTTTGCAAGTTTGCTAAGTTTTTAAGGGTGGCCCCGTACAACTAGGAAAAAAAGTACATATGGTGCCCTGTAGATATTGAATAACTAATGTAAATAATGTAAACTTCATCTGAAATTTTATCATGAATCAGTTCAAGAAAAAATCGATGGGGTAATAAAAATTGATGTAGCATTTTTATCTTTGTTTTAGGCTACACCTCGTTTACAGGATAGTAGGCGAGTAATCACAGAGTTGGCTGATCCAGATCTGGCTGGAAACTTCCCAGAAGAAGAGATGCAGATAATGGCTTACTTAGCAAAAGAATGCCTACTGTTGGATCCTGATGCTAGACCAAACATGAGTGAGGTCGTCCAAATCCTGTCAACTATTGTGCCAGAGAGATCTAAAAGGAGAAACTTTCCTATAAATCTTTTTCAGGTAATTATTTTTCATCAACCATGTCCTAATTCGTAGTACATACGTCTCTCTGGTTGATAAATCATCCATTTTCTGCTGTAGTATTGTAAAAACCATAGGAAGATAAACTAATTTTCTCCTTGGCGGTTCTTTTACTTGTAATTACATTTAATCTAAAGTTTGATAAATTAAAAAATTGCATTTACTTGATCAGTAAACAGTCAACTTTTTAACTTTTCATATCGAGTGTACAATTTGAACCATACAAATAAAGACCTGATCTGAGTACTCATTTTGGACAGCACATGGGCACGGATGGTCATAAAGATGCTGAGGAACTAAGGCGAGCCAGATCCAGTAAAGGTTCAGTTCGGTGTTCACTGCCACTAGATATTGATCGTAATCTCTGCGCCGAAAGACGTACAGACACTGTTTCAGATAACTATATGGAGAGATTGATCCTCTTGACTTCAAACGCTAGGAGTTGGCGGGCCTCTGATGATGAGACAGTGGACTTAACGGAACCCAGGTTCGAGTCATTTTGCCTAGCAAATGCCAAGCCCCTATGACAAAAAACAAAAATACACAACTTGAGTGAATCTAGCGTTGGTAACATGAATATGGTACCAGCTTGTTTCAGATACTTCTTCGATATTGGTTGCTCAAAGAAGTCATGAGGAAGCAAGCAGGTTTGTGAAGACTTGTTCCTCTCTACACTTTTTTTCTTTGAAGAAGAAAAGGGAAGAAAAATCATAGGCTATTCTCTGTTCATACAAATTAGTTTGTTGTATTCATGTATGTTCTTTGGTTGTTGTACAGAACATAAATCATAGAAAATTATGTTAGAAGATGAAACGGATGGTTTGCTGCTTGTAATTCCAGTCATGCAAAAGTATAGTTTTGGAAGTACCTTGGTTCAATTTACATTTATATAATCAGCATTTTTTGTTTGTTTTTTGTACCAAGAAGCAAGGTAGAGAAGAAAAACATGGAATGCTTGGCATAACAGTCAGCTCTGGTCACAATTTAATCATTCTTTTCTCACATCAATAAGGTCAAACCCATAATTGCTCTCACATGGTCACTATAACATTTTTCTATGCCCATAATTATAGCAGTCTGGTCAAACATACTAAGCATTTAGATCTGAGAGAAACATTGAAAACTAAAATGAGTGAAGGAACTCTTATAATAGCTTATGTATGGAAAATGATTTATCATTTGAACACTCTAAAGATCCTTGTAGCACAAATCCCTAATATGTCTCAATAAGATTGAAACTTTACTTCCTAGTCCTAAATTTAAAGGGAAATGCAAAGAGTAAAAGACAAGCACGCACTTTACGTGTATTGCCAACCATTGATGCAAGTATGTCCCCCACTCTATTAATGGCCAAGAGTCACTCAAGTGTGTGGGTGTTTGGGCGACTGTTCCAAGCACTCATGTGGGTGTTTGGGCGACTGTTCCAAGCACTCATCAGTATATTTTTACAACTAATTGAATGCAAAAAATTGTGCCAATTTCCTTAAAGTTTTTAGCCTAGACTGGACAGTCTAATCATAATTGCATAGGAATATTCTGTCCATCTGTGGTACAAGATCCACTGAAACTTGACCGATTCATACTTTATCAAGCATGTACAAAAAAATGTTGCCAGTTTTGGTAAGTTCATCCATTAGCAAGAAGGAGTAGTTTGTCCAGAGCACACTTAAACTTCCATGTGTTGTTAGTTGGGCAACATCATGCAAAGCCTTGGAACTTCCTTTGAATGGTTGTTGGGGGCTGTGTATGACTTGGGGATAGCATGCTGCGTTGGATCACAGATATATATAAATATACACTTTTCTTTAGACTAGTCCCCTCACCTGCCAGAGATGGATCCGCCACCACCACCGCCTAACGCTCCGCTGCTGGCCCCAGCCCCGGCCCCGGCTCCTCCTCCCTATGATCAAGGAGGATGCTTAGAATTATTGTAAGACTTTTTCACTTCAATTTTCTGGAAGCTGAGCTTTGACAATCATATCTTCTTATTTTTTTCTTGAATTTTCAATTTTAATTTGGTTCTCAATCTGCAGTTTGTGGATGCTGTGCTGCTGCGGTCTATTTAGATGCTGCTGCCCTCCACTCTTTGAGCCTGGTCCTCCTCTCCACCCTAGTGCTGCATTTTTTTTTTTCCTATTAAGCCCACTTTGTGTGGTCGTTTTGTGTGGGAGGTAGAGTCTAGTATTTATTTGATATCGATATTCCAATTTGGCTAAATGGTCTTCTATGTTAGCACATTTATAGGCGTTCTTGAATATCTCTGTATTTTCTATGTCACTCCTGCAGTTTGTAACGTTGTAAATTTTATCATTGTTCCTGCTCAACTAGTGCCAACGATTTGGCTTCTTTAGATGTCTTTTTCTACTATTTTTCATTTTTATCTTTTGGAAAAAGGAGAATGGATGTTTTCTTTTTTTCCCCAGAAAATGGAAACACCGTCACATTTCCAGAAACAGACTTTTAATTTGGTGTATAAAAAATGAAATGTGTTATGACAGATAGGAAATTTGTTTGCAATAGTCTCGGCTAAAAGCCAGAAAAACCAAAAAAGAAAAAAAAATTCAGCCCAATTGTCTTGGCTGAAAGCCAGAAGAACACAAAAAATTAGAAAAACACAGCCAAATTGTGTACGAAAAATGAAATGTGTGTTATGGCTGATAGGAAATTTATTTGTAATGATCTTGGCTGCAAGGGTAGAACCAGGAATTTTTCAATGGGTGGGCTAGCTTAAAATTTTAGCTTAAAATTTAATGATATTTTTTAACTTACAATTTCTATTATATTTTCTAGAAATAAAAGTATATATTAAATTATGTAACCCTATGAACTAATTTTTAATACATTTAGCATAAAAAGAATACAAATTAAATGCAACAAAAGGGTTAGCACAATAACAATGGGGAAAACCACAAAACATACTTTAGAAAAATAATATTTCTCTATTATTGAGTTTATTTATTATTATTTTTTGTCTGAAAATGTCTTCATAGAAATAGCAGGGCAACCACTAAAAAGACCACAAAAAGAGGGACCCAACCACAAATAGAAACGGCAAGTTGATGGGCTATATAGGTTTAATTTTGTTTTTCTTCAAAAACCTACATTGGCTACAGTAGACTAAAAAAAAATTCTTCAAAAAGCTACTTAGGCTACAGTCCAGTGTAGCCTTGTATTGCATGTAGTTCTGCCCATGCTTGGCTGAAAGCCAAAAGAACACAAAAAATCAAGGATTCGGATTCTCTACTGTAATTTTCTCTGCTATGATTTGCTTGACTTTTGTCTTCCACAGGCCACCTCATTAACATCTAATCTAAGGGACTTAAAAATTGACACATCAGTCTTCAAACAAAAAATTACTCCTAATTAAAAAATGAAAAACAATACCCTAACCCAACTAACATCAAACTTAACATCGTCTACCCTTTTCTTTTTCTATTTTTCTACCTTCTTACTTTAGCACGTCTTCTTCCTGCCTTTGTCCCCAAAATCTTATCTCTCACCAAGCTTTCGTTTCTCCAAAATTCTGTAATCACAATCCCTTTTCTTTTCTCTATCAAAATAAATATATATATATATATCTTTCCCTATTCATTGATTTGAGAAAATAACCATAACTCATCAGTCAGTAGACCTTACAAAACAATCTCAATATCCAGGTCTTGAAACGTAATTCCTCTTTTATCCAGGAAAACAGCAAAGGAATTTTTTTTTTTCAACCACCCTCGTCACATCAAAGGATATGGGGGAAACAAGTTTGCTTTTTGTTCTTTTGATAGATGGGAACATGACCTGGGATTCCATGGATATCTATGTAAGATCCCATGATGGGAACATGCATCATGTGGAGGCAATTATTGCTGAAAAAATAAGGGAAAAAATTAGTGGGAGAAAAATATGGGTGAATTTATTTATTTATATTTAGTGTTACTTATTTCTTTTTCTTTTTTAAATTTGATATGCAAGTGTAATTATGAATATAATTGAAAATTTTATTTAAAAAATGATGACGAGCTTTTAGATTATATAGTCCAATGGGCCTTTCATAAAAGCCCAAAATAAAACAAACACGTGGCAAAGCTTCTCTAGGTCCGATCCATTTATCACGAGACCACAAGTATCCGAAACGCACCGTATAGGAGGGGCAAGGACAAGGAAGGACACGGAAAAGCTCGAAGCAGCAGCGAGCACACACACAGAGAAGAAGAAGAGGGACTTTCGATAGTCGCCGCCAATGGCCGGAAAAGGTGGAGCAGCTCCGAGCACGTACTCTCCGTCTCCGACGACCCAGAAAACCAAATCACTCATCTTCGGAAACGACGACGTCGATTGGGTTCGATCCGATGGCCGTGAATTCCACCAATGCAGACCTGCCTGTAAGTTTTTTCTTCTGTTCATCTAATACAAATTTCATATCTTTACTCTTGTTTTTCGTTGTGTGTGTGGGTTGGTTTTAATTTGATGTTCTGCAGAATGTGTTTTCTATTGCTTATGTATGTCAAAAATGGAGTAATTCAATTGGTTAATCAGCTCAAGTGAGATTTTTGCTCTTTTTTATCGTCTTATATTGTAATGTGTCAAGTGGGTTTTCAATATTTTCATTGTTGGGTGCAAAGAACTGTGCTTTGATGCAATTGCTTTTGGTCTCTTTAGTGAATGCATGAATTTGTTTTAGTTTGATTTAAACCTCATCAACCGTATAAAGCTTAATTTCTTACAAATCCCTTATCCATTCTGACCTAGAGATGGTCCGTCTAAATGTTTAAGCTGGTAGATGTTAAAAAATTAATGCTTATAGAAAATTCCAGGGGTTTGTACAGATCCTTGTTTTCATTTATAAATTCTCTTTATTGTAATTTCATTGTATGGTTACATCATGACTTTCATAAAATAAACTCAAAAGTTTTGGGTTAATGACAGTTTTCAAGACTGGTGCTGTAAATGCCGCTGCAGGATCTGCTTATGCAGAGTTTGGAAATACCAAAGTCATTGTTTCTGTGTGAGTAAATCTTTTAGATGTTCGTACTCTCTCTCACTATTGTTCTTCTAACTGAATGTCTATCATGAAAATCCATGATCATGTTGAACATTATTGGTATTATTGATAGAGTTGCTTTTTCACTATTTTTAATTATTTTTATTTTAGTTATATATTGATTCAGGTAAGCATATTGCCATATAAGTTTGGATCCAAAGATATATGCAACGGACCATGTTTTACATTTTATTTTTCTCGGTTGGTTTAGATTTGGGCCAAGAGAGAGTAAGAAGGCAATGATGTACAGTGATATAGGACGTTTAAATTGCAATGTCAGCTATACAACTTTTGCTACTCCAGTTCGTGGACAGGTATATGACTTTGTGTTGATGTATCTTCTGTACCACTTTTCTTATTGAAATCATTGTAATTAATATTTGAACTCCCCTTTTTTAGGGGTCAGACCACAAAGAGTTTTCTTCAATGCTTCATAAAGCTTTGGAGGGTGCAATAATGTTGGAAACTTTTCCAAAGACTACAGTGGATGTTTTTGCATTGGTGTTGGAATCTGGGGGCAGTAAGTTTTCAATTAGTTTTAAAATGCAAACTTCTTTTCTTTTCAGCTGTTGCAAGAAGGAAATAGAATGAAGAAAAGGAAAGACCAGAAATGACAGAGAAGGGAATTTAAATTGGAACAAATAGATTATTTTCCTGCTATGTGAATGTGGATGCTTTTGTTTGGTGCTGCTGCTTCCAGTGATTATGTTAACAAATCTTGTACAAGAATTTTGCCACTAACAAGAAACTTAAATAGAAAGGTGCTGTGTTTGTCCATGACTTCCTTGGACTCAAGTTGGCACACTATGGATTTGTTCTTAGGGTAGAATTTTAATATTGGTTTCGGTGAAAGATAATTATCTCTTAGCTGACATGTAATGGACACAATGAGTTACAGAACTTTCTTTGTGTGAGAAAGAGTGTGATACAGTAAGAAGTAAACTTGATCATAACCAATTATATAAACAGATAAATCACTTTTGGAATAGAAGGGAGATATAAGGATTGATTTTAATGTTATAGTCTTATTTGGTGCATTTGTGCCTTCGATTATTATTTTTATTTGTGCCTTATAATTCCTGATATATTTAAGTGAATGCAAGACAATAATAATGCTTTTGTGCATGTTGATGAGTTTTTTCATTTTTGTTGCAGGTGATCTTCCTGTAGTGATATCATGTGCTAGCCTTGCCCTAGCAGATGCAGGGATAATGATGTATGACCTTGTTACCTCAGTTTCTGTGGTATGCTTCGACTTTTCAACTCTCTTGATAATCAAGCTTAAAGCAAGAATTTTGGTTATTCTATCTCTTACCTTGTTTCAAGTTTTCCTTTACCTTTTTTAAAAATAAAATAAAAACTTGTCATACAAATGTGATGTTTGTGCGCAAAAGGCCCAGTTCAGAATAGGCAGAGAATTGAGACTTCGAAAACTTGATAACATGACGCTGTACATAACGCAAAATCTGATTGTTGATCATCATATTGTATTTGTTCCGTTCTTTTGGGTAGTCGACTAAATCTCAAGTTTACTGATTAGTTGTCTCCATTTTGTTTTTTATTCTCACATAGTACTGTAAGCTTTTATTTTGGAGAAGAAATCTGATGATTAATTCATACTGCACTTTCTCCTTAAATATAGTATTGTGTATGCATGCACACGCCTGTGTGAATGTATGTAGATCTGCCATTTTATCAAATTTTAAACTTATTAATTGTTGTAAATTAAATACCATAACCATATTAACATTTATTTCATGGTTTCTTGGAACATCTTTCTTCTTTTCGGTACTGCATGGTTTAAAGTCTGCTAAACTCTTTCTTTAAACTCATCGCTTGTAAGAAAGATAGTTGCCATTTAAATGTTTATAGCATGGGGGCAGTTAGTTGTACATTCTACTATCAGCTATCATTTAGCACAAATTTGTGGAAGTTCTATAGGTTTGTCTTCTTTAGATTTACAAACAAATTTGTGTGCTCTAGTGACTTCCATGTCAAAGTTGTTTCATTTCATTTTTGATTTTTTCTTTCACTTATCCCTTTTGTGGTCATGCCTAGTCTGGTCTCGGAAAGAACCTTGTCATTGATCCTATTTTGGAGGAGGAAAGCTATCAAGATGGAAGTCTAATGCTTACTTGTATGCCTTCTCGCTACGAGGTCACTCAGCTAACTATTACTGGGGAATGGTCAACCCCAAAAATTAATGAGGTATGACAGTCAGCTGATTTGTTCCTTGAACTATTGTATGTTGTTCATCAAAGAATCTTATCTACCTTTTGACTATAATGTCTACGTACAAGAATGCCAAAAGAAAAAAAGTAGCATTCCACAATAACTCTGCTTTTGATATGGTTCGGATGAGGCTTGTGATACTAACATAGTTTTTACGAGCAGGGAATGCAAATATGCTTGGATGCCTGCTCAAAACTTGCGGTGGTCATGAGGTCGTGCTTGAAAGGACCTGATTCTACCTTAGAAGAATAGGATAAAAGTTTTGGCTAATTGTACATGATAAAGACTTTAACATTTGATTATTTTTCTTCTCAATTATCGTTTTCTCCAATATCAAGATTGAGTCCCATTGTGCTATAATGTTCTTAGACAATAGTGAAATAGTTTGTTATTGTTAATCACCAATTTTCAGATTATAATGTTATACAATTTTGGCACATCCAATTGTTTCAATACAATAAAAGAAAATTTAAAAATAGTAAAGGGGAGCTTTACAGCTCCATGACCAGTTGATGTGAAAGTTATATTTTGAATACCTTGTAATTGTCATCAAGGACTGCAGAGTCGAAGATTGAACAATGCTCTTGTCTTCTTAATCATAATACTCAATTATTTTTCTTCCTAATCATAGTTTTCTTCCTAATCATAGTTTTCTCCAATATCTCAATTGACTCCCATCACTTTGATATGTTATAATGTTTTGAGACAATAGTGGAATCATTTTTTAATACAAAAATTCTACTGATTTATAGGTCACATCATATATAAAGAAAACAAACTAAATTTGGATGATGCGATATCCACAATAAAAACATTTTTTTACATAAACTATTCATGCGTTTGAAAATTATCACAAAATTCTAATCAGAAAAGAGGACACAAGAAATTTATTCAAAAACTGAAGCCAGGTTTGAAAACCCACAAAGAGTTATCATGAAATTCGTTGGTATTTTCAGCACTTGTGCCCGAAAACAAAATTTTAGACAACCATAACGATTGAGGATCAATTTTGATCTATTAATTATAGTTTTGTTAGATGTTTGATATTTGATGTGATAATCTTGATATGTTGTCGATGGTGTCAATATTGCCCATTTTATCAACATGTCCCAGATAGTCTTGATATCAATAAAGTATCAATATTTTGTTGGCTTACTAAGGTAATAGTCTTATACTTATTTGTATACATTGTTACAAAATCATGCTATTTGAAAACATTTACTTCAATTTTTGACCCATAACTTTAGTTACTATACACATGTTTTCTAACACTTTAGTTATTATACAAATAATGAAAAATAAAATGAAACCAGCATTGCATGCCATGCAAAACCATGCAGTCAGGAGAGTATTTGCTTAAATTAATGTTGGATAAAACTATAAAGACAAAAAACAGACAATCAAGCATAAATGAGTTTAGCCGAGTTGGCTAGAGTGGGTGTGCTCCTCACTTTGCACTCGAGTTCAAATCCCCTTCCCCGTAGTTTAGATTAGATAAAAGTAGAATATCATTTTTATAAAAAATAAAAATAAAAAATAGACAAGCAAATGGTAAAAAATTGAGTGCATTCACACAGTCTAATGGGCCTTCACTAAAAACCCACAATAAAAATACACAATGGGCCATATACGCGAAAGTGCAACATTCTTAGTCCAGCCTAAAACGCACCGTCTAGAGCGAGAAGGACAAGATCCCGGAAAAGCTCGAAGAAGCGAGCAGAGCACACAGACAAAAGAGAGGGAATTTTGATTGTCACCGCCAATGGCCGGGAAAGGTGGAGCAACTCCGAGCACGTACTCGCCGTCTCCGACTACCCAGAAGACTAAATCACTAAGCTTTGGAAACGACGAAGTTCTCCGACCCGATGACCGTGAATGGCACCAATGCAGACCTGCCTGTAAGCCTTTTTTTTCTTTCTCTTAATCTAATATAAATTTCCTTCCTTTACTCTTGTTCTTCTTTTTGGGGTTCAATTCTTTCGTTTTCTTTGTTTTTTGCTGTGTGTTGTTTGTAATTTGATGATGTACGGAATGTAGTTTCTGTTGCTTTTGCATGTGAAGTTACTCAATTGGTTAACCAGCTCAAGTGAGATTTTTCCTCTTGTTTCTGGTCTTATATTTTAATGTGGCAAGTGGGTTTTCAATGTTTTGGGTGCAAAGAACTGTGCTTTGCTGCATTTGCTTTTGGTCTCGTTACTGAATCGGTCACAAACACAAGCCTCGAATGCGTTTTAGTTTGGTCTCCTGCAATATACTGCTTGGTGTTGTTGAGTTTTCATGAACGTGTTTTTGTTCTGTAATCAAATGTACTTGTACTTGGGTAAACCTATTACAAGCGTATGTATAGTCTACTTGAATCATGTGGATTAGGAGAGAAAGAGAAATAGTAATGCGTGTTTGAAGTTAGAAATCGTGCTTTCAATACGCTAAAAATGATGTGGAACAACCTTCTTTTGTAGCATGGCCTTTCGATTTCCAATGCATGTCTATATGTTGTTCAAAGCTTAAATTGAATTCTAGGATATGAGCTCTTTACAGAAATGAGGTTGGACCTTGTTCATGCTGCCTTATACATTCTAACCTAAACTTTTAAGCTGGTTAACCTGGCTGATGTTCAAAAAATGATGCTTGCAGACAAGTCAACGGGATTGTAGAGATCCTTGCTTTGATTTATAATTTTTTACTGGCTGTAATGCCATTGTATGCTTACATTATGGCTTTCATAAAGAAAAACTCAAGGTTGTGTTACTGACAGTTTTCCAGATTGGTGTTGTAGCTGCTGCTGCCGGATCTGCTTATGCAGATTTTGGAAGCACCAAGGTCATTGTTTCTGTGTGAGTGTATCTTTTTGAAATTCATACTCTCTCTGGCTTCTAGTTCTTCTAAGGGAATGTCTATCATAAATCCATGACCATGGCGAACATTCTTGTTATTATTGATAGAATTGCTTTTTTCACTGTTTGCACTCTTTTTTGTTGTTATATATTGATTCAAGTAAATAATACCCTATAATTTTGGATGCAAAGATATATGCAACAATGCATGCTTTACATTTTATTTGTCTTGGTTGGTTTAGATTTGGGCCAAGAGAGAGTAAGAAGGCAATGATGTACAGTGATATAGGACGTTTAAATTGCAATGTCAGCTATACAACTTTTGCTACCCCAGTTCGTGGACAGGTATATGACCTTGTGCTAATGTACCTCCTAATCCTTCTTTTTAATCTCGTTTCTTATTGAAATCCTTGTAACTAATATTTGAACTCCCCTCTTGTAGGAGTCGGACCACAAAGAGTTTTCTTCAATGCTTCATAAAGCTTTGGAGGGTGCAATAATATTGGAAACTTTCCCCAAGACTACTGTGGATGTTTTTGCATTGGTGTTGGAATCTGGGGGCAGTAAGTATTCAATTAGTTTTAACACGTAAACTTCTGTTCTTTCTAGTATTGCTAGTTGAGGTCGATAAGGAAATAGAATGAAGAAAAGGAAAGACCAGAAATACAGAAGAGACAATTTAAATTAGAACAATTAAGATTACACTCCTTCTATGTCAATGTATATGTTTGCGTTCAAATGTTGCTGCTTCCAGTGAATGTGTACTGCTTTTCACTTAGATTTCTATAACATACAAGAATCTTTCCACTAACAAGACACATAAATACAAAGGTACTGCATTTTGTCCATGACTCATGGTGTCCACACAGGCACCTTTTTTTGGTATTTCTTGGACCCATGTTTGGCCCGGTAAGAGTTTGTTCTTTGGGGAAAATTTAATTGTCGGACAAATACCTGTTACTTAGCTCACATGCTGATATATAATTGACACTTAATTAGTTACATAACTTTCTTTGTGTTGGGATGAGTGTGATAATGTAGTTATATAGAAAAAGATGTATAATTGATCATGAGCAATTGTAGTAATAGAGAAGTCCTTTTGGGAATAGAAGGGAGATATAAGGATAATTTTGATGTTGTAGAAGTATTTGTGCAATTATGCTATTGATTAATTGATTGTGTCTTTGCTTGTGGAGGGGCGGAAAGAGAATGAAGAAAAGTTTTTTTTTTTTTAAATGACAGAGTAGGGAATTCCAATTGGAAAAAATACATTATTCACCTACTATGTCAAAGTGTATGTCTTTGTTCAAGTCGTGCCGCTTTCAGTGATTGTGTTAACTACTTTTCGCTTAGATTTTCTCCTGTGTACAAGAATCTGGCCACTAACAAGACACTTAAATTCAAAGGTGCTACAATTTTCCATTACTCTTGATGTCCACTGAGACATTTTTGGTATTCCTTGGACTCAAGTTTTGTGCACTGTAGATTTGTTCTTGGGGGAAAATTTGAATGTTGGACCATCCCTAGCTGACATGTAATCGACACAATGAGTTATATAACTTTCTTTGTGTTAGAAAGAGTGTGATGATGTAATTATATAAAAAGAGAACTGTACTTGATCTAACCAATTATAGTAAACGGAGAAGTCATTTTTGGAATAGAAGGGAGATATAAGGATGATTTCAATGTTGTATGATTGGTGCATTTGTGCCTTTAATTTTTTTCTTTATTTGTGCACCATAAATCCTAATATATTGAACTGAATGCGAGTTGCTTTTGTGCATGTTGATAAGCCCTTTCATTTTGGTTGCAGGTGATCTTCCTGTAGTGATATGATGTGCTAGCCTTGCCCTAGCAGATGCAGGGATAATGATGTATGACCTTGTTACGTCAGTTTCAATGGTATGCATCTGGACTAGACATGTGCCCTTTTTAACTCTCTCTTGATAATCAAGCTTAAAACAAAGATTTTGGTTATTATCTCTTACCTTATTCAAAGGTTTCCTTTATACCCCTTTGTCAAATTCGTGTGTCATTGTATCATGTAAACATGATGTCTGCTCGTGAATAGCCCAGTACAAAATATGCAGAGAATTGAGACTTTGAAAACTTGAGGACATTACACGATAGATAACACATATGATTGTTGATCATCATACCCATTTATTTTTATTCTCCCATATGCTGTGAGCTTTTATTTTGGAGAAGAAATCTTAGGATTAATTCATACGGCACTTTTCCTTAAATATCCAATTGGTCTGTTGTGTAAGTGTATCAAGTTGTTTCTTTTCATTTTGTATTATTTTGTTCACTTATGGTTTTTCTGTTTGTGGTGCCTAGTCTTGTTTGGGAAAGAACCTTGTCCTTGATCCTACTTTGGAGGAGGAAAGCTACCAAGATGGAAGCTTAATACTTACTTGTATGCCTTCTCGCGACGAGGTCACTCAACTAACCATTACTGGGGAATGGTCCACCCCGAAAATTAATGAGGTATGCGCTCAATTGATTTATACCTTGTTCTATCATTTGTTGTTTTCTAAAAGAATTTTATCTACTTCCTAACCATTATTTTTGCAAGGGATAATCTAAACAAGTAGCATTAAGTGTGCATCCAAGGTCATCTTTGAGTTCTAGCTTGGTTGGTTGTTCTTGCATGCACATTTATGCGGGTTTGATGCAAAGATGATCCTTCTAGTTGATAAAACCTTTTAATTTGAAGTCAACTAGGTGGATGTACTTGTCAAAATTGTTTTTGTAGACCGAGGAGTTTTTCATACAACTCTTTGTTAAACTCCATAGGAAGGTCTTTTCACTATCTATTGGTGGCATGTTTCTTATATGGTTTGACAAAGATAGATGGGGCTTATGACACTAACATAGTTTTTGCAAGCAGGGAATGAAGATTTGTATGGATGCCTGCTCAAAGTTTTCACAGATCATGAAGTCATGCTTGAAAGGACTTGATTCTGCTTTGGAAGAAGATGATAGTAATGTTGATTAGCTATTATCATTATTTTATATTATATGAATCAAATTTTGACTATATAGGAGAAAGATTTAACCCTGAGTTATCTGAGAGCTTTTTGTTAGTGTTGGGCCAGATTTTTCTTGTATATTACTTCATCTAGTCTTAAACTTAGCTGTTTTTCCAACTTTGATTGGCAGTCCATGGTACATCACAGCATATAGCAGCACTTCCTGATTTGATTAGGCCCCTCCTTTTATAACAGCACAATGACATCGTATAGGATCCTCTTCTTTGGCCATCCTTTGTCTCTCTCCCATATTACTGTTGTGTACTGAAATGTTATTATCTAATGGTGAAGGTTTTTTGTGTTCATATCAATGATAACTCCTCTCTTCTTACTCTGCACCCTCAAGTAACCTTGAAGTTGGTATAAGAGAGGAAATAACTCAATCTAGTAACCTTGAAGTTACTCTGCACCTTATGCCTTGAAGTAACCTTGAACTCAAGGGAAAACTCTAGGCACACCAATGCGACCCACAATTCGTGCGTTGGTTAATTCAAGGTTCCGTAGGCTCAATGGATAATCGACTGACTACTGTTTGAGTTTACAGTTCATCCCTCAGTCGTCAAACCAATCAAACTCAATCTAGTAAATCTAGTAGTGAAGATGGTTGGCCTTTGATAGATTCCAAATTTCTCATATCCTTTTGTTGTAAGTTTCATTCTCATATCCTCGACACCTAGCTAAGAGAAACTGGCGTACTCCTTCAATCTGATGCCAAGATATTGTTTGAGAATTGGCAAGGGGTGCTAGCTAGAGGAGGAAGAAGCAACTTTGGAAAGCATTGTTCGATTGTGAGGTAAATGGATGAGGGGACTCATATTCTCTTATGCCCCTCGTGCGTGTAATATATAACTTGTGTGAGGGTTTTAATCATGCATGAACATGGCTTCTCGTAAAAATAATCCAATAATTTGGTACAAATCTTTTGCCACCATTTAAAAAGTTTAAAGATATTATTGGGTTTGAAATGAAATTGTGCCAGCAGAAGACAAATGTGAAACCGTGCATGTTTTAATTATATATGTATTGTTTCCAGTGGGTCATGCACACGTGCAGTGGAGATCATCCTCTCAATCCTTTTGGTGCCCCCCATTATTGTTGTTGAGTTCCAGTCTGTGTTGCTAGCCAATCTGTATTAATAATTCCAACACCAAGGACATGATCCACAACCAATGAGTAGTTACCAGTTATGAATGATTAATGCTAGCACAAGGGCTGTTCATCATTTTTGCGCTGCACTACACAGGTCTTTTAATTTGAGATTCGAATTCGGTACATTTTCTAATTAGAATGTGACTATTCAATTCAAAATTAATTGGTTCTCACTTGATCATGGGTGCAGAAGTCTAATATCTTTTAAAACCTTTCATCATTCAATGTGGAATACTCTCAACACATCTCCTTACATGTAGCTTAAAGTGTGGACAATTCTTATTAGATGATGTGAAAGCATGTAGGGTCATTGGACTATATTTTTCCATTTCATGAATGATTATGGTTATTGATTGATTCTCCCTATACCACTAAAATGGACTTTCGAGCAAGGGTCAACTGAGATGCCCTGCTCGCTATATCATATGGATTACAAAGCAAGAGATTAGATTACTTAAATATCTCGATTTGAGGTTATTAGTAGTAAAACCACTCACAAAATGCCTCGACGCGGGGTTAACTAATACCATTTTTTGATACTTTCACGACACTTCCATATAGCTGCATGTGAATTTCCCCTCTTATTAGCAAATTTTGCATGCTCAATGCTATACATTATTATCGAGCACCCTTCCCAAACATACATGAAACAATCTCTTACTCTCATCTACCCCAAAAATACCTAAACAAATCATGCATTAATTATCTTAAAATAATTAAATTAAAAGATGACATGGCTTGCTTCATTATAGGACAAACTGTTTTTGCAAATTCGCACGTACTGTACTTTTCAGTGCTCATCTATAAAATCTATAGAAATACAACATGAAATTAAAGTAACAATAAATTAAATACAACTTAATTAAAAATAAAAAGCATGTTTAATTTCCATGTTGGGTGGTAAGGTGCAAGGCCTTAAGTACTACATGCCAGCCTGTGATACGGGTCGAGATCTGGCTGGCTTGTCGGATTAGTCTTGAACTTGATAACCTAATTTTTCTGATTAGGTAATTCTGATCATGCATAAATTAAACTAATATTTTCTGTTTTTTAAATTAGCCCATAGAGTTGTTTGAATTTACGAATATGTCCCACCGGCGGCATCTATAATAGTTCCCAGGGACAACAAGACGTGGTCAAGTTGTAGGCAGGCCAGGTTTTAAATAAAATAGATCGGTATATGCTGTGGTGACTTCAAATACTTGAAGACGACGACTGAGCTCTTTAATTTTCAAATTTTCAATACTCAATACTTTTTTTTTTCAGCTTCTATAATAATCTATTTTCACATCACATCAAGTTGTATGGCCTGCATGGATATCATATGATAAGTTTTCTTTCCTGGGAAATGGTGACATGATAGGGAAGGGTTTTTTTTTTTTCTTTTTTCTTTTTTCAAATATATACAAATGATATGTACTGTGGAAGGAAAATGTTATATTCTTGTCATATTGTTTATCTGAATATGATTGATTATGTGAATTCTTAGTTGAATATGTAGTTCAAAGAATGAAAATAAAGATTATTTGGTAAGTAATTGTCTAGAAAAGTATAGATATTAACTTAATTATATCTTAATCACAAAACCATGACGAAACTTATGAGAATTTTTGTTAGTGTCTAGTGTACATTTGTGAGAGAAAAATAACGACTTGAGAATAAAACTAATAGAACACGAATGACTTAATCATTAAATGATTAGATGAACTGTAAATTCAGACGTTCTAAATTCAAACCTTTAATTACAAGTTCAAAAACACTTGAATTTGCTTGATATGTAATGTGGTATGTCTTAGATATATTAAATTTACCTTAAAACATTTGTTATTCACATACTACTGAATTTTCCTTGTAACTCTTTCATTTCTTTTTCTTTTCGACTTATTAGCTCACATTCTAAAAATTACTAGCTAGCATTCAACTTTTCATTTAGGACTTGTTTGGTGAGCTGGATTATATAACGATATATTGTTAATGTAATTTGATAGAGGCCAGTGGAGAGTACTTGTGCCCTAGAAACACTCAAACATAATCTTATCAAGAGTGAGACACCGTGAGAGTCAATCTAGTTTTCCTTTGTTGAACTTGACACACAAAACCCTACGACCACATTTTGAAGAGAATCCACGACTGGAGCTGCCGTCCAGTTAATTCCAGCTAGGAAGCAGAAAGAAAGAAAGACATATAATATACATATATACGACCACAAAAGTCAAGTTTGGTAGGTGTTTGGCACATATAAATACGACACACAGGACACGGCCGTTCAATTCAAGCCTTGCTTTTCTTCCTTTTTTAACTCACAAAGTGGAAGGGCGTCTTCTTCATTTGATTTTGTCCAAGTTGAAGCTGTTAAAAAGTCAACAAATGGGTCACCGTCAAGGGGTCAAAGTCAAAGTGCCATATATTGAGCTCATAATGATTCTTAAATATTTCGGTGCCGTACATAATGCTCCGCGTGTCGCATGTGGGTCTTGGCTTTGGGGAGAAGAAGATAGACTCATGCAACTATGAATGAAAAAGCTGGCAAATTTGGTGTTAATCTTGGATATAATTATGAGCTTAGAATGTATTTAGACACTAAATTTGAACCATAAATTCTCTTTCCTAGACTACGGTGAGACATCCGTGAAGTCTTTAAGTAGTCACTCTCACTATTTTTAGTCATCAAGGGTTTATTTATTTATGGAAGAGAAAGAATGCTTCGAATTTAAGGCATCATAGGATCAAAAGAAGAATACCACTAATCTAATAACCAATTGATTTTTAGTTGCATTGGCGGACTTATGCTAACCACATATGCTCACACTTCCTTAATTTTGTTAAGTTTTAATTGTCAAATTTATATTGTAATTTTGTTAAGTCTTAATTTTGATTTTAGATCGTTTCATTATTGTAATGACCTTTTGTGGCTAGTGGCTTTTTTTACTGAATTATAAATACAATTCCATAATTCTCTCCACACAAAAAAAAAAAAGTCAAATTTATATATAACCTAATTCGGCCGAACATAATAATTGTTTAACAGTCTCAATCCCCATCTTGTCTTGTATAGAATAGTAAAAAATGATTTCAGTAATTAAGCTCACAATTCATCACGCCTTCATATAGGCAAACTCCTCGGTCCGTCACTGCTTAGTTATACAAACATGCTTAAAATCAAAGATTCTTGACGAATAGTACACTAGTTTCACCCTTGTTACATATTTCTTCTTTGCTGTTTTAAACGTGCAAGCTTTATAAACTTTTAATTTTAATGTTTTCATATCAATTTTTAAATTTTAAAGCTGATTGGAACAAACTATTAACTGATATTTAGATCCCATACCTCTATGTAACTAAATAATTTTGTTTAGATTGATAATCTAATAACACATGAAATTGTCTAATGAGGTCAACGAGATTCAATCTGCTAAAAAAAGCATTAACTTGCAAAGAAGTGGCCTTAGGTTCAAGCCCTCATGACACTTTGATAGTGCGTGTGAAAAACCATTTTCTCATTGCATAGTATAGATTATCATTTCTAATGAGATAAAATTGCTCTACACAATCCCAACTTCACGCTATAAAACAAAGAAAGAACGCGTGTCAAGATTCCAAAGGCATGCATATCTAGCGTAGTCAACTCCTCCTTGGATCTTTAAATAAATAAATAAAAGTAAAATAAATAACATCTGACCCTTCCAAAAAGAGGAAAAAAAGGAAAAGTAGACTAATAAAACCTGAATAAACAAGGCAACAGAAGCATCTTCCTGTCTTTTTTTGTAAATCTCCTCTACCTCTCTCTCTCTCTCTTCTTTGCAAGTTTTGGACAGACTCTTGTGCTCTGTCTCTCTGTCTTTCTTGGTATCAATGGCAATTGGATAGATAGATATATACATAGATATATACATAACTACTAACCATATTTTTTATATTTTGGAATATGCCAATCAAAATTAAAATAAGTATTTATTTCCTTAAATAGGTTAATACTTCAGTCATTTTCTCAAAATTCCAAATTCGTACCATGTTTTAGACGACAAGAACAATGCAGGGTCTCTTCAAGTTCTGAAACAGAGCATTGCTTTTCTCACCCATATAACTGATTTTCCAATCTCAACTCATTTCTTATTATTACATTAGCCCACA